AGTTGGGTTAGTTCATAAAAGGAAGACTTTTTCCCATACATACCCCTACTACTAAACAACTTATCTTGAGAGAATACTCTTACTTAGGAATCTATTGTGAATAAGCATTATTTTGATTATAAGAAGCAGGGAACTAGTTCAAACTATTTTATGCTAAAAAGTCAAGCTGTATTTCAGTTTCAGCTTTTAATTTAAAAAAATTGTTTAGCTTATTTGAAGATCTTAAGGTCTTCAAACATGATTGCCATGTATCTGTCTGTTTCTCTTTTCTCTGTGGTGATTTTATATATTCTCGAGTAGTCTCTTTCTAAGTGTTGATAAGAAGCAGCCAGGGGACACTGGCTTACATCATGCCGGTTAAGCAAATCTCTGATTTTTCCCAATAACTCAACCATAATTTCAAGGTAGGTCTTTCATTGGCTTCTTCTGAGTCTGATGTCCTTCACTGCTTTAGCTATCATAGACAAAGGAATGAAAAATATAAGTTGGTTATGCTTGTGTCACATACATGGACCAAGTAGAGCACTGGAATCAGCCTCAATTCAATCCCATAAACACAGGAGATATTAGCCCTTAGGTTCAGTTGAGCTGAATGAATGTAGATAAATACTGGGCGAGCAAAAACCAACAGATATTCATTGTAGCCTCCATTCTTATTTTTCTTGACTTTTATTCTGAAATTTTTCTGATATCAGAAATGATAGTTGCATTAGTTAGGGTAAAAACTAAGCAGTTATAATAAAGATACCCTCAAAAGATATTGGCTTAAAGAAGCAAAAAATTCAACTTATCATAGTAGTAAGTAGGTTCTGATCCAGAGTCATGTACGGATCAAGGCCAATTGATGTTCTTTTGTCATCCTCAACACGAGTCTTTCACCGCTGCAGACTAACTAGAAGGAAAATGAGAAGTTAACCTAGATTATCTTTAAGCAGATGACCTGAAAGCTGTCAACAGCATTTGTTCTCATGTCTCTTCAGTGAGAACCTAGTCAGGGGCCAAACTTGGTCACAAGGGAGACTGGAAAATCTAGTCTTTAGGTGGGTGTCCATGTGCCCAGAAGGAAAAAATAATAGATTTGTGGGGGCAGAGGGACTGGGGAAGGACCAGTGGCTCTCATTAGTCTCTTCTTTTTTTTTCAGTATGTTTATTTTACATTATGTAGGAAACATTTTCAAAATCAACTGGAAAAAATAGAAGAAACAGATAAACTAAGACCTTCATTTTGGCTACTTATCTCTGTAAAGATCAGTCCTTATACTCTGGTGTCACGATTTCACTACTCAATATTCATCTTTGCTGCAGCAGAATAAGAATACATAAAAGTACACTGGTCAGGCACAGTGGCTCACACCTGAAATCCCAGCACTTTGGGAGACCAAGGCAGGAGGATTGCTTGAGCCTAGGAGTTTGAGACCAGTCTAGGCAACATTGCAGGACCTTGTCTCTACAAAAACTTTTTAAAAACATTGACCAAGTGTGGTGGTATGCGCCTGTAGTCCCAGCTGCACAGGAGTCAGGCAGAAGGATTGCTTGAACTCAAGAGTTTAATGCTATGGTGAGTCATGATCATGCCATTGCATTCCTACCTAGGCAGCAGATTAAGACTTGACTCTAAAGAAAAAAAGAAAGCTATTTTCAAAGATAGCAGTGGCTTGTTATATTTTAAAATGATACAAGATTAGGAATTGGGAGATTTTCACACACTAGGCCACTTATCAGTTATACGACTTTAAGAAAATGCCTGAACTTTATTCTCAAATATAAAAGGAAGCTACAGAAGAATATGTTATCTGAGGCCCCTTTTGGATTAAAAAGATTTTGTACTATGATAGAAATAGAGAAGTTTAGATGAAAGTCTCAACCTCCAAAAGTACCAGGACTTTCTCCAACAAATAGGAATTCATCCTAGAACTCAGTTCATAGTTCTTTGAGATAAGACTTGGCCATATAGTACTATGAAACAAACCACCAAAAGGAGAGTAAATTAGCCTTGGTAGGTATTTCTAATTGGAGAGTGGGAAATGTTTCTGACCTGTACAATGGAAGCCTTAAGGCAAGAGATTCAAAAACACTTAACATTATCTTAGCTACAAAACTATAATGGTATTAATGGCCATAGAATTACCCAGCCCTTTAAAAATATTGAGTGAATGTATCTGATTCCATGACCTCCTAGGGCTGAATCACACATGTTAATAATCCACAGCATGAAATACAAGATTTTACCTTTCTATTTGTTTCAGAATTATTACCCTTTGATTTTTAATATATATTCCTTTGTTCTTGTATTAAAGGACAAGTTAAAGGAGTATTGACTCTGTCAGCATAACTCTGCAGCGTTAATATGGTCTTTTTTTTTTTTTTTTTTAGCAGTATTAAAATGTCAGCTGAAGGTGGCTGCTTTGTACTTCCAAGGTTGCCTTTGAAGGATCTATTCCTCAGTGGAACATCCTGCTTTCTTTTATTACAGTAGTTGGCCAGAAACCCCCTGTCGATCTGTGACTATTTGGAACTGCTAGACTGAAATGCCATTTTCAAAACTACAGCGCTTCTGCTAAACAATTTTTCTAGGAATGATGCCATATCACTAGCTACTTGGATTTGCCAAAAGGCAATACTCCTCCAATGGCCCTAGCTCTGGGAATGATACCAAATGATGGTTCAGACTGGGGGTAGGCAGTAAATCAGCAGTAAAAGCTGAAAAATGCCCCAGCTTTTAATACCTTTTATTTTTTTCCAGATGACTGGCCTATCTCTCTCACCTTCTGCTTCTATTCAGGAGAACACTCCTTTTCCCCCTTTATTTGTGGCCGGATAGTGGTATTTTCATTTGACGCGGCCTTCCTCAAATGTGAGAGAAAATCCACACCTTTCAAAGCTAATGTAATCACATTTCCATGTGACTCATAAGAACCTAGTCTTTCTCCAGCACCTATGTGCAACTGTAGGATGACTGATAGATTGGATTGTTTGTTGAATGGGAAATGGGTCAGAACAAAGTGTCAGACAGCAGAATGGGAGCCAAGAGAGGGTTCCAAAGCACCAGCAGAAGGTATCTTTAGCAAGCATTTACTCTGGCTGGAAGCTGCCTTCTGGTTTCAGTCTTTCTGGAAGCTGAGGCAGTGGAGTTGTGAGTTTCTTGAGCCAGGCAAGCTTAGATTTGGTGCCTGCTTTAATAATGTATTGAAATATGAACCCATCGTGGCAATGACAGCTATGAGGGGTTTCTTGAATGCAGAAATTTAAGTCATCTGCCTCCATTTTGTATTCCTTTAAAATATATAAATATTTTAAATATATATATATATACTGTTTCTTTCTTGGTTTATTTCCTTCCTTCCTTCCTTCCTTCCTTCCCTACATTTTCCCTCATTCCCTCTTTTCTTTCTTAAAATTTGGTCACATGGGGTAAAGTATATTGCATATAGGCTGACTTCATTACTGTCCCTAGTTAGTCATGTGCGGCTATTATTTTATCATGCATATGCAGCAGCAGAGACTCAGAAGTATGTTAATACCCTTTCGAGAAAACCCATATTTAAGAAATGACACTCATCTTCTTGTTTCAGGTATTGTGCCTTGGTATTGTCTAATAAAATTTTGGCTATATGATGTAAAAAGAAGTAATTGGCCTTGTCTACTAGGTTCCCCACTAAATCTTAGCACTGAAGCCAGTGACTGATAAATAGTGGGTGCTCAATGAATATTTATAGTGTTTTTAAAAATAATGATCCTAATGTCAAGCATATAAATTATAGAGAAAGAAAGAGCTATATATTTAAAAGTACTCTGTTGGTCTGACCAAAATGGAGTTCTGAGTCTTTTGCTCAGTGGATGTTTACCCAGAAGACAGGAAACTCCTGAGACCAACTTAGCTTTCTGTCTATCTTGTGACTCCTTGACCTTGGAAATATTTTCCTACAGGCACAGTATTTTTCCCTGTCGGAATTTTATTTAATATTCTATCTTTGTTTCTATGTAGAAAATATGCCACGTGAATAACAATGCCTCAGGCAAAAAAAAAAAAAATAATCACTCCAGCAGCACAATTTAAACTTAGGACAAATCCTGCCCTCACTTGCATTTGCAATTTGCCAGCACAGTCAGTAAGAACTGTGCCCACACACGAACTGACAGAATGGAGGCCCCAAGGTTAGCCATTATTAAAATTTAAAAGTCCATTTACTTATTTTCGACATATTTTATTCAATTGCTTCTGAGGCACAATCGTGAGTTGCCTTTGGTCTTACTGCTCCCGTCAGTGGCATCCAACTCAGAGGGTAGCTCACAGTTCTAAATGTCCCCATTGTTCAACGCACTAAACGAAAACAAAACGAGACTGTAAGGTCAATCTCACAGTCTTAGTGGAGTAAAAATTAGAAGTCAATAATTCTCTTACCCTCAAAGAGGACTTAAATTAAATGGGCTTTTTAAAAAGTGGTATTGTGTGAAAAATTTGGAAAATATCACCACGGCAGGAAAAAAAATTAAAGTAGTATATAAATCACACATAGTACAAAAGCTTGTGATTTTCCTACATTAATTCGGAAATCCTAAAATGAATATTTCTATTTGTTCATAGAATTGATAGGTCATCAGAAATGGCTTCTTGTGTTGGAAATGAGCAGCACAGAAGTTTCCTTCTATAATAGTTAATTAATAGAGAATAAGTAGGAAAAATGTCATAGTAAAATTATGGACTCTAAGTATTAGGGCACAATTTTAACAAATATAAGGTCCCTAATTGTATGTACGTACTAATTTGACAGCTGACGGTAGTAGCATCTTTTGTAAATTAAATAGCAAGCCACACCATGTCTCTAAGGGAAGGAAAGCTAGAAGAATATTTTGAATAGGTGCATAGCACCACACCCATCCAACATGCAGCAATGGGGGAAAACCAGACTGGAGACCCGTGTATGGAATACGAACTGAGTGAAACCATCGGGAGAGGGGAGGCGTGTCTTTCAAATTTCTCTTTTGCAGATAAACGGAGCAGAGATCCTACCTCTTTTGATCAGAGATGTTGAAAATGACGAGCAAAGTTTTGGCTTGGTCCCTTGCTTTCCACAGGAGAATCACATCTTAACCCTGTAACTCTCCCTGTCCCGTGGGAGTGTGCAAAGGGAGGGAAAATAAGCGGCGTGGGTGAGGGGTGGCGGAGCAGAGCCGAGGAAGAGAGGCGGAGAGGCGTGAGCCAGCCTCTAGCAGGAGGGCGTGGATCCCCGTACAAGCCAGAACAGGTCCTGCCTTCTCGCGGCCAGTGCCAGCGGCAGGAGGAGACAGGCGGGATCTCCGTGGACAGACTCGGGGTGCAGACCAGCGGGAAGCGGCTGGCGAGAAACTCCCGCGGATCTACCCGGAACGACTGAACCCTTCCCGTCCCTCTCCCCGCTCCCGGCCAGCTTGGGGGAGAAGTTTCCCGAGGGAAGGCACAGGACTAATCGCGTGCGGGAGGCGACTCAGGTGTGTCAGGGATGGGGGTCAGTTTACGTCTCTCCTATTAGCCCCGGGGGCTCTTCTTACCTGCCCATGAGCCAACTCTTTGGGCAGGGGCAGAAAGGATTAAGGATTTGCTTCTGGGAGGAGGGGGTCAATTCACGATGGAGAGGAAATGATGCGCAGTTGGGGCTCCGTCCTCGCCCAAAGTGGGGGTGATCCAGGGTCCCTCAGCCTTAACCTGGGAAGAGACACCCCTTTTCCAAGTCCCACCTCAAGGTGGCTGATACTGAATTCAAACAGCTCAGGGTCAGTCGGATGGAGTTTTTACCCCACCCGTTTTTATGGGGTCCCCGAGACCGCCAGCTCCCACTTCCGCTGAGGTTACCAGTAGGTTGACCCCTCTCTTTCTTCCAACATCCTCCCACCCCCACCTCCCTCCCCCTACTCTCTCGAGAGGATTCCTGATCCTGCTGTAGATTGTAGCCCTCTCTCAGGTGGGGCGTCCGATGTCCAGGATGTCCAGTTAGTTTGGGGGTCAGTCTCGGTCTCCCTACCCCAGCCCCTACTCATCGCCTGGTCGTGGGGCTCAGATCTCCTCCCACCCCCACTGCCCCTATCTTGCTCCTACTCCCGGGAGGATTCTAGATCCCAGTGGGATCCCGAAAATGCTGCCAGTTTAGAATGGAGGATCTAAGGACAGCGGGTTTGGGCGTGAGGAGAAACGAGAAAACCGAGAGGGGCAGAGATCCACCCTCCCCCAGACCACCGTGGGGGCTCGAGGGCAGGCTGGGGGACCTGGTTGCCATGGCTCCCTGGTCGCCGAGCCGGGGGAGCTAGAGATGCCAGTCACGGACGGTCTTTTCCTTCTTCCTCTTTGTGCCTTTCTCGCTCTCCTTGTTTTTTTTTTTTTTTTTTTGAGTGAGAGTGTGCGTGGGGAGGGAGCAGGGAGAAAGTGATTAATTTGGAGAGCAGGGATTGGAGCCGGGAGGCTGGGGAACGCCGGCTCCTCCATTCCCACTCCTCTGGCTCGCTGCAAGCCGCACTTTCTTAACCAGGGGCAGGGCTGAGGGATTCCTGAGAAAAGCGAGCGGCTGGAGCAGCCGCCGCCGCCGCCGTGCGGGCCCAGGTACACACGCCCCGGGCTGCGCTGCGCGCCAGGGTGAGCCTCGGTGGGCATTTGGACCGTCAGCCGGGAAGGCGGGCCGGGGAAGGGTGGGAGACCAGCGACGGAGGGCCGCAGGGCAGGTGTGCGTCGTCACAGCTGGGTAGCACCGCGGGGCGGGAGACCGCGGCTCAGCCCCTCTTGAAAGGGCGCCGGGGTTCAGCCCCGCCCGTGGGAGCCAGCGAGCAGCCCCCAGCCCGCAAGTGGCAAGCGGCTGCCCCGCCACGCGCGTGCGCAATTGCGCGCTCCCGCCGGAACGCGCCGGGGTGGGGAGATATGCGCGTGCGCGCGAACCTGGACAACCAGCGAGCCACCTGGGCTCGCTCCAGGCAGAGCCTCCTGCGGAGCCCACGTGGGTACGAATTCGCCCACGTGGGCTTAAATCGCTGCAATGTGTTACTTTGGACTATTCTGTGCCTCAGCTTCCTTTTCTAAATAATAGGGATAATAACAGTACCTTCCATACTGGATTGTTGCAAGACTGAAATGAGATAATACAAGTAGGCCGTTTAATCCCATGTCTGATACGTAATAAGCACGCAGATGTTAGTTATTGTTACTGATGGCATTAGTAACAATAGTAAATGATACATTCCCATTTTTCTGCATCATCATTGAAGACAAAATTCTGTGTTTTCTAATTTTGGAGAATAATTTAAATTCAAATATTAATATTCTTACTGTGTAATACAATTCCTACAATGCTCTGGCTTGCAGCGGATTGGAAGAGGTAAACTGACCAAATGCTGATCAATTGACTTTTCAGTGTATTGATGAAGAAGGAAGCTTAGAGGGGTATTTGGGGAAACTTCTGGTGACAAGAAAATTAAAAAGTTTATTCTAACAGTCTTGTGTGTAAGTTTTGTGTTTTCTCTTTTACCTGTGGATGTTGGGTTTGTTTCCATTGTAATCTCTTTGTGAGGGACCACTCTGTAGCTTTCATAATTTAACTTGTTTCTGGGGCCTCTTGTGTGCCCTGGATTTCCATTTTATGGTATTAAATGCTGTAGTGGATTTACCTCTAGTAATGGTAGAGCATAGTGTATAATCATTCCTTGCAAGCTCCTGAATATTGTAGGCAAATAAATGAAGACAGATAGTTATTACTGAGTGTGTGTAATACTGGCTATGGCGGCTCATTAAAATCTCTTTCAGGGCATCTATGTAACCACTTCAGTGTGGAAGCACAGGTTTATAATGATTGATATATTTTTTCCAGATTGTTATCTGTTTGTTGCATCTAGAATTATGAGATTATTTCTTTATAGGAAGTCTGTGGATGTATATTGATTCCTCATGGCTATATAGGTGCTTCACCTTGTCAGATGATGAGCAAACATTTCATGGACCTAATTGCAGTCTAACAGGAGTTGATATTGCACATAATATACTTATTATTTTCAAGTTAGTTCATCCCATTAAATGAACTGGCTTTAAATACAATTTCCCCCCCCCAAAAAAAACCATTTGCTTATTAAAATATAAGTATGTCTTGGTGAACTTGAGGCAAATAATGCCAGACAGATATTATAATCATAAACATTCTTTAGTGATTTTTCTGGAATAGACTTCACCTAGAAAAAAAATATTTGCTGAATAAAAACCTGATTTGATAGTTGTCTCTGCAATCTTTGAAGACAGGAGGTTGTTTGACCCAAAATTGCTTTGTTGAAATAATTTAGCCTAATTCACTTTTATGGAAAATTAAATAAGGGTAATGATCAAGACTGATTTAAGATTCTTGTAGCTTTTAACTGATAAAGAAAATTAAGTAATAGAGGGGAACTAACGGTGTCAGATTTGAAAGAATGATTGTCAGGAAGTACTAAGAGTATCAATTCAGGTAGTAGAGTATTGCTTCAAGTTTGACTTTTGCAAGACAAAACTCTCATCTTCACAGGGAATATGTCATCTTTAAAAGGTACCTTGAGGAATTAGTGTGACAGCTTGTCTGAAATTCATGTGATCATTTACATATTGTTTCCCAGGAGCTTTGGCATTAAATGTTTCATTTATTGGGAATTATTTTGGCCTTTGATTTATGACAGCCAGCAGTGCAATAGACTGTAATATATTTTAGAAACAAAAATTTAGCTTTTCACCATTTTGTAGTATCCCTCAAATCTAAGCAATAATGTCTTTGGAAAGCTTAAGTTAGGCCAAAGACAAATGATAACAGCAGAAAAACATGACAGATCAAGAGGTGTTGAGTCTTGAATTTGGGGACTTAACTGACATGCAAAGGTCTAATCAAGAGGATGAACTTGTCTCTGTACTAAGGCTGTTTTCGGTGATGTACAGTATTATCTTATTCAATCGGTGTTCATTGTTATTTTTTTCAAACCAAGACTGAGAATACTATATTTTCAATTATGAACATTTTGATTACAGCTTCATTCTAACTAATTCAGTCTGAAGAGAATGCAATTATTATGGTGATTTACATACAATATGCTAAGTTAACACAGCTAATGAGTGAAAGCATAATATTCTTTCTATTCATTCCTGGAAAAATATTGTGCTAAGCATTCTTTCAAAGAAAAGATTACATTATTCGCCAGCATTTTATGTCTACCTACAAGTAGAATTGGCATTGAGCCATTTTCTCTGCTATTAAAGAAAAATCTCTCACATTTTGGTGATCACATGCCTCTCCTCCCCACTCCTTGGGGGAGACTGAAAACAATTCTCAATTTAATTAGATGTGGTGCTTTCTCCTTTTTGTATATCTTTATTGGAGGAAAGATTCTGTATTTTCTAATTTTGGAAGATGGTTAACACCTTAAACATTACTAATTACTGCAGTTTATTTTATGTGTGTCGCCATAGTGTAGTTAGTTAATTATAGCTTTCTCATTAGCACCATGTAGAGAATAATGAATTAACACATTCCTTTGATCAAAAGGGATCTAAGTTTATCTTCTGAGAATAAAAGTGTTATTGTGTTACTGAAAGTCACTATAATTTTCCCAAGAAACAAATTGCTTGGAATTCTCTATCACTGGGTTAGGGAACTTGATGAATGAGTTGGATTGATCACAAACAAGAGAGAGTAGAGCTGTGGTTGCTTGGCAACCTGACATTATTCTGCAATTTCTGGTATATTTATCCAGTAAACTAGAAAATTCTGTTTTGTTAACGAATGTTTTTAGTCAGTGCACAAATAGACCATAACTAATTGAGATTTTATGTTTTGTGGATAAAAAATGATCCTGCTTACCTCCCCATTGTGTTTAGATAATAAAAATACAAAGAGGCATATTCTGTTTTCAGTTTTTAGAGTTTTCTCTGTCAATGTTTACTTCATTATCACATAATTTGTTCCTACCTAAAGAACATACAATGTATATCTCTTTGGAAGTAAAAATTATTAGGAGTGTGTGTGTATGCTTGTACACTTTTTCAATAAGAATCAGAACAAGAGTTTAAAGTGAGATAAATTCTTCAAAAATCATAGTTTGCTAGTTGAACTATTAGGTAAATGTAGGGTGGATATAAATATCGAATTTGAATGATACTGGTAGATGATAAGAATAATTATAAAGGCATCACATTTGGAAAACATATACTCTGTACTTTGACCCATATTTCTTCTCCTGGGAATCTTATCACATTCTCTCTTCTGATGTTTGGATGTATCTCATTTCACATATAGTTGTGGAATTGGAAGCTCAAAAAAGCACTTAGTTGCCCATCTTCTGATCCACCTCTTCCTAACTCCTGGGGCTGCAATTATGCCATTTTCCTATATAGCCTATGAATTTTAGTGTACATCACAATTCCCTTCTCAGATTGTAAACTCCTTGAAGGCACAGATTTCATTTTATGAATTTCATAAACCCTTACAGTGTCTGGCACAGTG